AGAGTATAATTTTTTGTTTAAAGAAACTTCCAAATTCAAAAGTCTAGAATACCAATACTACTTTTAACTAGCATTTCTATATTTGATTGCTGTTAGCCAACTATCTCTGGAGAGATCCAGTCACCAATGGGTGTTGCCTCCGTGGAATTTATTGATCCAAGGGAACCTGTATCGGTCAGTCTTTTTTATTTATCACTTTCCCTCACTCTCCATTCGTGTATTCATTTGGTTTGTCTTCGTTTGAGGTTTTTGCAAAGAATTAATTACCATGGTACCCTATGTTCCCTGCCATATATTATATGATTTTACTATGCTACGCTAGCTTTTGATACTAACATGGGGAGAACACCAGAAAGTCTGCAAAAATATTTTACATCCAAACTATTCGAAATATTCTCGTTCCAGCCAAAACTCCCAAAATGAATAATTACATTTGAAAGATGCATATGCTTAACACGCTCAGCACTGTCAATAAATTTTGAATTTTCCTACATGAGTAAATCTCTCCCCTTTGCGTTTAAAGCAAATAAGTGCAATGAACAACAGTAATGACAACAAACTAATCCTTGTTTCCATAGAAGTTGGGTTCAGCTATACTTCATTGTTATTTACTTTGATCCAGAGTTACATCTATTTGAATCAAACCTAGAGAAAGGTCCAACAAAATTAAGTATTTTGCTTCATCCATGCCTCTGCTTTATGAACTAACACTCATCTTTCCCCATTTAAAAACCATGTAAAATTTAAAATTGGCCGGATCATAATTGCAACTTATATTCTGGATCGAGGTTTTCTTTTGCAGAATTAAACTGATCATTGTAATCGTGCTGTACAGATTGTTCCCATCTTGAGAGCTGGTCTTGCTCTAGCAGAGCATGCATCATCGATTTTGCCTGCAACAAAAACATATCATCTAGGTACATAAATGTTTACTCCTCTTTAATTGCAATTAGAAAAAAAAAGATGGATCACAGATATTTTGGTGGTGAAATTTCAAGTGTCATCGTTAATTTTGGCTTTGTATGATTCATTTATTACAGTAGTTACCAGCATTGTCTCCATCGATGTCTTAATTTTCTGAATAAGCTCCATAAAGTGCCTTTTGATTTAATTTAGCTCTGTGTTTGTAAAACTGAACTGTGCTTGCTGCATTTTTTTTTGTTTACTGTCCAAGGCATCGTGAGAGATGAAGAAACTCTTCAACCAACTGTGTATTTGGACAAGTAAGATCTCTTTGAAGACAAAATTGCTGAAGTTTCCATTTTACATTGATCTTTATGCTTCCGCTGTTCCAGAATCTATGATGTGCACTAATAGAAGTGCTTTACCTTAGGTGCAGAACCAGAATTTTTTGTCATTGCATTTTAATATAAGTTTTGTTTCCTAAGTTCTATTGTTTCCATATAGATCAGCCTTGTAATTTTTTGGTAACCTGCTCGCTCCTCAGGTTACCTGAGAAATTTCCTGAAGGTTCTCGAGTATTTGTCGTAGATCCCATGCTCGCAACAGGTACTTGTATCATTTTATGGCTATTTTTGTGGTAAAATATTGTTTAATTTTCTCTCTATGTCATATTATTCAGTACACAGAGTTCTACTTCTTCCCAGAGTTTAGAGATTGTAGAAAATTTGAGATGTATCTTTGCCATTGCTTGTAATCTTTCAATTTCTTTACAAATCAATGACTTGAGGTTATAGTTAAATAGGTGTATCTTTAGGTTACCAGGTTGGATTAACAATGTGGATGGTTTACTATCAGGTTTCGTTTGCTGCTAATACTTTTTTGGGCATATCATTTAGGTTTGAATTCTAAATCCTGGTCTAATTATCTCAAGTGTAATAGATATCCAATCAGATTGCAAGGATATAACTAACATTGAGGCAGCCAATTCATCAACTATTCTAAAGTGTTCCACTTAGTTAGGGGAAGGGTAATAGAAATATAATAGAATGCCTATAAATGTAATAAGGGGGGATTTGGGAGGAGGATTCATTGAGTAGTTTGTTGAGCCAAGGGGGGAGATCTGGCTTCTCTAATTGCCTGGAAATTGTCATTTCAGTTCCTTTTCATTTCAATACAATAATCAGCCATCCAATTCCAGCAGCAATCATCCAGGCGAGGAAGAGACTGAACTACTGCAGAACAGGTTCCTGTTAATTTGGTACCAAATAGGGATGTAAACAAGCTGAGCCGAGCCAACTCACGAGCCGAAGGTTACGGCTCGGGCTTTTTTGGCCCAAGCTGAGCCAAGGCTTGACCGAAAAATCAAGGCTTGGCTTGGGCTTTCGGCTCAGGCCTTATCGAGCCAAGCCAGCTGGGCGTTTTTATCTTTTTTATAAAGTTGTGAAATTTGAATTTTTTTTAACAAACAACTATAGCCGAAAGCAAGCAGCTACAGCTGCTGATTTCTGCAACTTTGTGCTGCCTGCCTAACCTGCTTTCATGCAAATAGCCAGCTGTTTTGCAGGCAGCTACAGCTGCCGTCCCTTGCCTGTGTCACGGGTCATTTTGGCCTGCCACATGGGCCGGCTCGGGCTCGAGCTCGAGCTGTGCAAATGAGGCTTGGTGGGAACAAGCCACGAGTCGAGCCGGCAAACCAAATTTACATCCCTAGTGCCAGAGCATTTACCTGGGAAAATGACTCACCAATCTTTTAGAGTTCTTGGAAGCGAGAACTGACCGTATACAATTGAATTTACATGAGCTAGGTGTAATGAAATTTGAATTTAAAAGAGCTATGTCTAGGATGATGGAGAAATTTGATTACATGATGAAGAAGTGGGAGGGACAGGAACCGGACAGGAAGGAAAAAGGTCCTGTAGCTGCATCACCAGAGGAAATTAGAGCTAGTACAGACAACTGTCGCAGGAAGGAAAAAGAGTTGGCTACACCTGATCCCAACCTTGCCTCTGAAATTCCAACAAAATCTGATGATGTTGGAGACTTGGAGTTAATACAAAGAACAGAAACTGCCATGAGGAACTGTGGAAATCTGAGAATAGAAGTCATAAGCTGGAAGTGCCGGGTCTCAACGGAGAGGATCCCAATGGGTGGATTTTTATGGCGGAGAGGTACTTCAATATTAATCAGTTCTCGAATTGGAAGGCAGTCGCAGTTTGTTTGGATGGAGAAACTTTGGCGAGGTGTAATTTTGTTAATGGGTTGAATTCCATGATATGGGCTGAGGTAAAGGTGTTAAAGCCTCAAGGTTTGGGCCATATTTTGGAGTTGGCCCAAAGGGGGGAAGAGAGAAATGAATTCATGAATAAGGCCCAAGCAAATTACAACCCAGCTAGGAATAAGATTAACACATACAGTTCAAATCAGACTCAAACTTTGGGAGTTCCTCCAGTGGGTCCAACTGGTTACGGAATTTGCATGGTTAACATTCTAGTTGTAGGTGGTTTATTGACTATACGGGTTAATAGCTGCAACAAGCTTACTCAAAAAATGGTTCAGCTATATGAAATTCCGAATTTTGAAGTTGAACCACACCGCCACCTTTAGGACAAGGTGGATTACAGGATGGCGGGTAATGATAGATATCCAATTAGATTGCAAGGATACAACCAATATCGAGGCAGCCAAGTCATCAACTTTTCTAGAGTGTTCCACTTAGTCAAGGGAAGGGTAAAAGGGTAATAAAAATATAATAGAATGCCTATAAATGTAATAAGGGCAGATTTGGGAGAGGGATTCATTGAGTAGTTTGTTGAGCCAAGGGGAGAGATCTGGCCTCTCTAATTGCCTGGAAATTGTCATTTCAGTTCCTTTTCATTTCAATAACATAATCAGTTATCCAATTCCGACAGCAATCATCCAGGCGAGGAAGAGATTTAGCTACTGCAGAACAGGTTCCTATCAAAGTGCTCCCTCCACATATATTCGAAGTTCTAGGCCAGAAATATAGCTTCAAGCACCATTTTTTCTTAGCCATTTAGGTGTCATGGATCAAGACACCCTTGATTTGGTGTCTGGACTCAACTTGGCTGGATGAATAGACCCTCAAAACTCTCAATTTTTTATTTTGGGATCATATTAAAATTCAATTCCATAACATGGCAATAAATAAGAGATACTGGCATCTATTTCCATTTCTTGAACTGAATGAAAGTTTGAACCCCTGGATGCACTTGAATTCTTAACTAGGATTGATAGTGGTGTTTTTAATCTTCTGTTTCTGCGAGGAATTGTTTGCACTTTGCTAACATGTTGTTTCAAATCTATTGTCTGTATCAAGCTTGGAAATTATTTATTTCTTAGTAAATGCAATTTTTAGGTGGCACAGTCATTGCTGCCCTTGAACTGATAAAGGAGCGCGGCATTGATAATAAGCAAATCAAAGTGGTCAGGATACTAAAACTCTTATGTTTTCCATTTTTTAAAGCATGTACATTCTCTTCTTGGCATTCTTGGCCTTGTCTCATGGACCATGGTTCAAAAAAAATGAAATCCCTTGCGGCGAAGTGCCAAGCTTGCCTGGTGAATCTGAGTGGGATCTGTTTTGCACGTAACTTTTGCATCTATGTGCAACATAATATTTGCTGCATAAACTGCTTGGTTTCAGATATCTGCTGTTGCTGCTCCTCCTGCCCTTCAAAAGCTCAGTGAGAAATTTCCTGGGTAATAATATCTCCAATTAAATTTTTGGAAATTAAATATTTTGCACTTTGGTTTTAATAATCTCTCTTTTTCTTATTTACCAGGCTTCATGTGTATGCTGGAATTCTTGACCCGACTGTTAATGACAAAGGGTAATGTTAAATTCATATATGGAGCTCACCTATTGGCAGAAATGTGTATACTGTTCTCACTTCCTGAGTTTTGGGTCATTTCAGGTTTATATTACCTGGACTCGGCGATGCAGGAGACCGTTGCTTTGGCACATAAACCTGTCAAACTATACAATCAGCTCAATCTTCCAGGTTGTCGTTGGACCCAATTTTGAAATTTCTAGGTATATGATATGATATGTGGGAAAAGTTCTGCCCAAGTTTTGAAGTATTTCTCAGCTAATAATCTTGAGATTTCTGATTAATTGCAACAATGGGATTGGAAGGAGTGGAAAGAAATCAAAATGAGTTAATGTGTGGAATAAGATATCATGGAGTACCTTCAGAAGCTAAAAATTAAATAGTTTACAAAAGAAAAATGAATTATTTTTGTGCTATTTTCTCTAAATGATTTTTTTATTTTTTTAATAGTACCATCCAATTGTTGATCTTCTTATAATTATTTTGACGTATTGGTAATGGTTTAGACCACTGCATCTTTCTTACACCAGTTTTGCAATATAATGGCATTATTCTGTAGTAGGATTCTACCATATTTTATTCCCGTAGTTTTTTGTTAATTTCTTGTCAACCCAATTCAAGGCTCTACCTTCTGATTGCCGGTCAGTCACATCTTGTCGCCATCCATTATATAAAACTTCAAGCACACCTGAACTACCCATAATGCCAGAATTTAGAAAGAACTAATTCAAAACATTAAAAAAAAAAAAAAAAATGTTTTGGGATTTTAACCCGTGTTCGTGTTGCACCAGAGTTACATGTATACGGGGTTTAACCTTTCCTGAGCGTATAGTATTCTGATCTCAAAAAGAATTAGGTTCTCTACTCAATACAGCAAATCAATAAATTCTTTAAATACAATCTTGTGTCTATATATTCATGAATATATCTATGAACAGCAAGAATCAAATTCAATTCCCTATACATGCTGCTGGCAAGAGAATTCCAAATCTTGTGCCTTGTCCAGGCACAATTTCCTAAAATGTAATGTACAGAGTCCAAATGCTTAGAAACTTAAGAAAAGTTAAATGAACCTGCAGATAAAATCATTGTTGGGATGAGTGTATATTCAGGATGACAGTTTACACACCCACATAACCACCATCACAACCACAACCATCACAGCCACTGCTCGTGTCTCCATGAGGCCGGGTTCTGGCACTAAGACAACAGCATACTAGACCTATCAATAGCATGAAGCCCCATACGGAGGCCAGAGCTTGTGCCCAACTCAAGTAATATCCCATCTTTTCTCCTCTCCTCTGTTCAGTACCTTCCGACAGATTAAAACTCATTTCCACGTAAATTCATTATATTGGTGTAATCAGGCTGTTAGTATCTCACATGGGTGAGCTTGAATGCCGGCAATAAAACGTGTGCCAACCTGGGAAACAAACAGCTACCGTGATGAAAATCTTTGCACTAAAAAATCATCCAAATTCGAGTTTTTATATGATTTTTGGTGACTGCAATAAGAACATATATATTGTGTATAGGTATGTGTGGGAATAAAGTTTGCACATAAAATGCTGGTAAAAGTTTCCTTTCGGTAGTTTGAATTATAGCCAGATCAACTTTTCAATGTTTTCATACTTGCCAATCATCTTAGAGGCTTTTTATTAACAATTAATTTTAACTTCATATTTCGTATAACCTACAATTTTTTAATCACATTCGATCAATTTTTTTTATCAAAATCCGTTAAAAAATTAATTTTAAGATCTTCAAAGCTAAGTAAATGACAAGGTATTTATAAAAAACTAAAGGAGATTTTACATGTTTTACGCATCAACAGGTGATAAATGCACACGTGTGCTCCACTGTTCTTTCGTGGAATTTCCACTTTATTCTATTCTTCACCCCATTTTATGTAAAATATACGTATAGAAATGGTTTTTCCCCCATGTATAGAAAAAAGAAGCTCATCGGAATTTGGCCAGAACACACACAAATGCGTGGGACCCACCATGTATCTTAAAAAAATGCGCGGGACCCACAAATGTGTGTATTTTGATGAAAATCTGTGGGCTTCTTTCTGTCTCTAACTTTATAAATTTATAGCAACTTGATCACTAATGAACGGTTCCGTTTACTTGACTGTTAAGAAATCAATATTTGTTAAAAAGACGATTATATATTTATTTTCTATTAAAACAAAAATTGAAAAAACTCCTTTTTCATTTCATTGAATTGAAAGCAGTTCTCCTCATGTCCCTACACCAAACTTTCCACACCTTGTGAGGAGGCTGTGGGGAACGAGCAGTGAGGTAGGAGGAGATGAAGGGGTTCGGGTGAGGTCCCAGAGGACAAGGCAAAAGATAGATGGGCGATTAATTGGCCTTTTTGGGGACTCTGTTTACCATTTTATCTTTGAAGCATCAAAAACTTTTACATCTTAAAATAGCTGGAGCTTTATAAAGTTGGCTTTCAATTACTTGGATGCTATAAACTGCTTTAAATAAGTGGCATCATCACCAACCCCAAAAAGATTCCTAACTCGTGGTTTTGGAAATGAATCTTGTGTGCTTTTTTGGGGATTGGGGTGGGGTGCATGAAGTTCTAGCATATACACCCTAAAGAGAAGTTAACTAGAGTACACCATTTGCCATGCCTTAATCAAAAGGCATGGCCAAGAAACCTTGCAAGGATCCAATAAGATCCATATTACAAATTGTAAAATCTAGTTTTTCTGTACTGTCAAGCATTCCTCACTTCACAACATGATGGCCTATTTGAGCCTCATTTTTGGTGTATAATACATTTTTGAATAGTAGATTGATTAGGGTATGTCTGATCTCCATTTTTGGTGTAGAATGCATTTTAGAATAGTAAATTGATGAAAAATGTGTAGTTAAAAAATAAGAAAAATTTTTAAATTTACGTGTAATATTATTTTATTGAAGAATGTATGATTGAAAAGAAGATAAATGTATTTTGAAAGAAATGAAGATCACACAAGAGCTGAATCTTCCAAAAAATCATGGCCAAAAATAAAAAAGAGGTTCTAATATGACCAAAATGAAGGCAAATCATCTATCAAAAATAATCTGTGCATAGAACTGGGGCAACATAAAAAAGAAAAAAAAAAAGCTCAAACTTGGCCAAGCCATTGGACAACGTGCACGAGTCTTGGAGTTTCTTATTGGTCGAAACCATCCATTATTCATAGCAAAAGGAAAATGATGCAAGCACGTAACATCGGAACCATCCACAATTTTGTGAAGAAGGTTGACTACTATCTTTTACACCACCATAAAATCTCCTCAGGGACACCAAGGGTGGATTTCCCTCATTCTTTGTAAGAAATCTATTAACTAATATACAAATTCCAACAGATTTTCCATTCTTCATTATGACTGGTAAGAGTTCATTACCTTTAAACAATAATTAAAGAAATTTACAACCCGCTAGTGAATATGCAAATAACAGTAGCCTGTTTCTTGATAATTGAGCAGCCGTTGATGAAAAACATTATTATGTAGCCCATGCACAAGAAGATTTTGTCGGACATACACGATTCATTATCTTAGCCCCAAAGATGTGGCCCCTACATATCAAGGAAAGACAGTCACAAAAAATTAAAATGTCAGAATCATGACAGAGATCACAACCGATTCTCCACAGCTACTTCTCCCAGCCTTGAAGTTCGGCGTAAAATACAAATGCTAATCTTCTCGTTAACAATGTTAAGACAGCAATTGGATCAAATTTCATTACATCCCTCGTAAAAGTGTGATGACAAGATCTGTTCTCAGACAAATACGAGGCACAAAGTGCTTATTAGGCAGAGAGTTGATTGTCCTCTGACATAGTGTAAAATGCAACTCAATAAAATAGAATGCGAAAAGAAATTCAAGTTCCAGTGAGTCATCAAGTGAAGATTAAAGAGAGGCATAATGTTATTCCACAAAACCATGATAAGATGGCATTCAAGTATTCTCGATGATAACATGCCATTTCAGGACCTCTAATAATTGAAAACTACACATATTATGAAAAAGGAACAGACGAAAACAAATTACCAATTGAATACTTGTATTAAGAAGGGAACGTATTTCTGAAACAGACTGGATCACTAGATTCGGTGCAGTTCCAATTAAAGTTTAACTGGTTTTGGGTCTTAGAACTCGTAAGCAAAGGGTTCGAGTCTGGTTCTCGATTTCAGCTAAAGAATCAAAATTTAATTTAATTTATTTATAATATCTCAATTAATCAACCTATAAGTTAACTTACACGAATTTACATGAATATATATATATATATATATATATATTAAGATTTACCAACACATTTGCCATCTAAAACAAAAAGCAAGAAAGTTAAATATGAAAATTCATAGAATGGTTTACACTTCCAATTTTTTTCTAAAACATAAAAATAACTGGAACGAACCTGATGCAATACAAAAAGTGTATTCAAGGTGAAAAAGGAATTAAATTAATTAGGATTTCCTTAATTTTAGTTTGTCGTAGATTAGGATTATTCTCTTAGTTAGTTTCCTATTTAGATTACACTTTTTATTAATTTCCTACGTTGCTTACGGTTGTTTAAACGCCTATAAATAGAGGGTTAACCCTTTTTTTAAACACACTTTGATTATTGAATACAAATTGCTGCTCTCTAATTTATCTTGAATCTCTCAAATTCTTCTCAATTTTCATAAATTGATTATTGTAAATATTCGTTTATGAGCTTCCTACATCAATTTGTGCGGGACTTTGCTTTCCATCCCCAGACCGATGGTCAAATTGAGATGGTTAACTGCAGCCGTAGTAACTTACTTCGTTGCTTAGTTGGGGATAAACCGAGAAATTGGAAGTTTATGTTGCTTACTGTTGGTTTTGCATACAATAATTATGTCAATAGGTGAACCGATCATAGCTCACTCAAGGTAGTCCTAGGTTTGATGCATGCCAACCACTTGATCGTGTCCCTTTGCTTACAAATTTGCAGTTGATTCATATCGTAGGCATACAAAATTTAATGTTGGTAATTATGCCATGATTTGACTTGCTCCAGTACATTTTCCAAAATATGCTGCAAAAAAAATCTTTGTACTAGATCACTTGGCCGCTTCCCCATCATTAAAAGGCTTGGAACTAATGCATATTTACTTGATTTGCCAACCCACGTAAAAGTCCAGTTTTCAATATAACATATTTATAACCTTATCGAGGCATATTCGAGCTTCTGATATTGCCATCTTCTATTTTCGTAGGTCAAGCTCCTCACTCACCCCCTTAAGCTCCTGCTTCCACATTTCCCCCTCAAGATATCATTGACAAGGTCTCAAGGATCAAGTTGTTGCTTCAAAAGGATGGTGGCTTTCGCAGGTTTCTAGTGCCTCGAAACGGTCTTCCGCTGAGCAATGCTACTTGTATTAATGAAGATGAGTTTCTACAATTGACACCAAGCTATTGGATGCTTAACTAGACTACAATTGGCTAGTGTCGAATTCTTTTCAGCAAGGGAGAAATGATGTGTTAAAAATATATTTCAAGGCAAAAAAATAATTAAATTAATTTGAATTTCTTTAATTCTAGTTTGTGTTACATTAGGATTATTTTCTTAGTTTCATATTTAAATTAGATTTTTGATTAATTTCCTACATAGCTTAGGATTGTTTTAAACTCCTTTATAGAAGGTTACCTCTTTGTTTTAAAGACACTTTGATTATTGAATACAAACTACTTTCTCTCTCCGATTTCTTTGGTCTCTCTCTCAAATTCTTCCCAATTCTCATAAATTGCTTATTGCAAATATTTGTTTACGAGCTTCCTATGTCATATCCAGTACTAGTTGGTACTAGTAAGATTCAAATCTACCAATTTGCTTCAATTTCATCATTGCACACGGAACATTTCGGTTCCATGTGATGAACAGCCTCTAGTGCTTGATTCAGTGCAGTGTTCACTAGAACCAGGATCACTAACACCCCTTCTTTAAAATATAACTAGCTCACATGAATAGCTCCTGTTTTAAAGGTAGATTTTCATAAAAACAAAAAATTTCTATAGTAGAGTCAACTTTGCCCAGATTTCTATAATCCAACTCCTCTCATTTGAGATTTTTCTCTCCAAATTTCTAGGACTTTCATTTTTTGGGAGTGAAGAGGTGAAGGAGATTACATAAATCAACAATCTACAATAGGTTCTATGTTCTTCAAATTTCCCCCTCATCCTCATATCCTTCATAACGGGAAAGAGATCTTATTGGTACCTTAGAGCACAACTAAACTTGTGTTATCATATAAACGTGGCAGCTTAAACACAAAAATTGGAGAACTTCTATGTAGGTATAATATAGTGACTACAAGGGGCGGAGCCAGAAAGATATGAGAGGATGAGCTCAAATTTAATTTTTTTTTTTTTTT